GGATCCCAACATGCCTGAACTCCTCCACTTGAGGCAGGAACTCACCAAACTGAAGAGGACAAGCCACCCCTTTATGTTGGGAACCATGGCTTTTGACTTGTAGGAGCTGACTCTCTTCCAGGCCGCCTTACACTCAGGTGCAAACCGCCCCAGTGAAGGTCTTGGCAGTATGGGGCCAGCAGAACTGTTATCTACGAAAAGCAGGGACGAGATTGGCTGCACCTAGAAATCTTGTCCATAATGATTATGAGCCCCTTCTGCAGGCATCCTGCAGAAAGCATAGAGCTGGTCCATTGTTCCACAGCCAGGATGAAAACTGCTCCTTCCCGAAGCCCAGGTTCAACAATTAGCCACTCTCCAGAACCCTGGCAAGGGCTTTCTTGGGGAGGCTGAGGAGTGTGATCCCCTATAGTTGGAACACACCCTCCGGTACCCCATCTTATGCAGGGGAACCCCCACCCCAGTCTGCCAGTGCAGGGTCCCTGTCCCAAACCTCGATGCAATGTTCAAGAAACGTGTCAGTCATGACAGCCCAATAACATCCAGAGCTCAAAGGTATTCAGGCTGGATCTCATCCCCCCCTGAAGCCTTGGAGTGGCTAAATAATGGCAACTAAATCGTAGATATCATGACTGATTTGTCGTTTATCAAGAGGGTGGGGTTGTTGTGGTGGAAGGTTTGCAAGCAAGTTTGATTGTGGCCGGTTTCTCGGAAGAATCTTGCAAACCAGTTAGCAACTTAGTGCTGACTATTATTTTATTATTTGAACCGTGGCGTATATTAGCTTCGACATATGAATCAAGATGCTATGACCAAAAAGATTTGATTGATATGTGATTGGCCAAATTTAGGTGTACAGGCTGACGTATAACTGACTGGCCTGCATAAAATAACAGCAAAAAACAAAACAGAGATTCTAAGACAGGATTTTTTTTTAAATAGAAATTTTCTAAATATTTATATACATGTTTAAGCTAGAATGATTTGACATTTAAGTACGATTTCCCTACAACTTTAACAGTCACCAATTCTCTCTCTTATATTTGTTGGTTTTCAGATTAATGGTCCTGGTTTTAATAATAGTCCTGGTGTCTTTGGACACTGAAAAATGCCACCATCTACCTCCAGAGGAGATTCTTCCTCAATCAGGTTCTGCTCAAGTAGCCTGTCTTGTAGTCAAAACACCAACACTGATATATGCCGATGTATATGAGAAGCAACATTTCAAACAATGCTAGCTTTTGTTAACTTAGTTTACTTGCTCTGTTTTCAAAAACTGACTTATTAAGATATTAGCTTGCTTTATTTAAGGAAGTTTTGATCTTAAGCTGTAATTAAACATTTTATATTTATCTAAAATTATTTGTCAAGTTCCTATAGCCTGGATTGAATCCTTATTCAAAGAAATATCATTGTGGTAAAATCCTTTTAAACTGTCAAACAACTGCCCAGGTTTCTTTCTTTAAATTAAAATTTACTTTGGATAAAATTAAAAAAATAAAAATAAAAATATGAAAATTCCCATAACTGGACTGAGGGCTTTGTTTTTTATCATTTATTTTTTAATTGAATATGCATAGCTTCTGTCGATGCAACAAGTAACTTTCACCATGAACAGTTTTAGCCCATCAATAAATCATGCTAGTGATGCTTCACTGGATGCTGCTGGATGCTTTATACTCCAGACACTTTGCCAATAGAAGCTAATTAACAAGCTTAACCCTGCGACACGGTAGCATATGGTCAACCAGCTTAAGTTTTCATAACACGCTGTTGAATTAAATAAAGTGTAGGATACTTTATAGTCGACATGGCTAACTGTTAATACGTCCTGTTAGCAACAGTTAGCTAGCCTGCTGTTAAGTTTTCTAGCTAGAACTTATATAAAACTCACCTCTCGGCGGACACTACAGTTATAGTAAACTTTTCACCGTCTGGACATCTTCTATTAACTGTTGTGTCGACAGTAAACGAGGTCATGCACTGCCTCACTGATTAGCAATATTAGTTTTTAAAGGTCCATAGCATCATGTCATAATGGGCTGGTTTATCTGCCACCGTCCCATAAACTGTCCCTGTCCACCGTTATCCTGTTGGCCAGCATTGCTGCTGCATTCAGGGATACCCTGTAATTCTCTGTGATGAATTGAATAGACAAGTTTCCCTTAAATTTTCCGCCCTTTCCACCAACCATAATACTATAATAGTTCCATATAAATTCTCTGATATATATTTTTCCCCTTTTAAGTACATTTTAAAAGAAAAAGGTTTCGCTGTGGACTTTATCACATTACCAATGTTTTTTTTTTTTTTTTTTTTTTTTTTTTTGCGTAGCCTATTATTCCCTCAAGAGGTTGTCATAGCCTATATGTATTTTTTCTGTTACAAAAAACTTTAAAAAGTTTTAAAATCTATTCGTGTATTATTCTTAGCTAAAGTAATGCTTCAGTTTGTACTGATATACACATTACTACCAGAGGTACCTGAACGCAACGCAAGTGCAGCATTTTACTCAATGTATGACACTTTGGTGACAACTAGTGGCCACATTCTGCAGTCAGAGGTAAAAATATTAATGCAATAATAATAATATTGTGTTATTATTATTACTGCTCTTGTTATTACAACAACAATATAAAATTTAGAATTTAACATAATAACGAATCAAATGAACAAGGCAACATGTGTAAATACATAATGAACTGGCAAACGACTGGGGTTTAAATAGGGAACAAAACTATGTGGAAAAAAGAACAAAATGACAAACTCATGTACAACGATTCAATCAATAAGGACAAAGGTTTTGCTATTGCTTATCAGATTAATAAGGAGAAATTGCTAAACTGGGAAGCAATGCATAGAGAACCTGTCAAAACAACTAAAAGCACTAAATACACAGAAGAGATAATTGAGAAAAAGATTCAAACTAATATGGCAAAACAACAAACTACAAAAATGGCTGAATTTGGCAAACCAGAAAGAACCAAAACACAATTATAAGATAACCTACAGGACATAATAACTAATAGCTAAATATTTTAGTTAGAGGTCAATAAATATGAATGGAATTTCTTTGACAGTTATATATATTTTTAATAAATTATTATTTAAATATGAGCAGCCCAGTATGTGTAAATTAAATCATAGCTAGGATAAACAAGATATAATCAAATACATTTTTAAATAATTATGATGCCAATTATTAATTTAAAAAACAGCGATGTATGTTGTAACAGCTACAGCTTTAGTAATGTATTATATCCTAAATTCTTAACATAATAATAATAATGTAGTATTGCTGTACTACTAAAGCTTTTGATATATATTTTAAATAGACCACATCTACATGATGCTGTCCTCTAAAATTACTTTTGAAATACATTAGGGCAAGGGTTACATATAATATCTGCAATATTTCCTCTGGTGCAAATCCTTTATCACAGAATTCCACATAGACAGCCTTTGATTTTAATATCCCGGTGTTGGGTGACAGGCCTATTGTTGATGCTTTGAGTAACACCTGTTTTCTATATTGTGACATCCCACAATGTGTAATGTAAAAACAAACCATACGGGGGAATCCAATCCTCCTGAGAATTGCAATATAAACTAGAACTTTTGTCCTTATCATTTTATTATACCACTCATGTCAATACAATATAAATGAGATGTTGGTGTGGGCACGTGTGTGCTGTGAATTTGGTTTATTCCCCCTTGTCTTCATTCTTAAGGGGGTTCAAAAACAAACAAACAAAAAAGGCCACAGTACATATCAATTTCAGAAGGAACTATTCAGATACTTGTATTATATCAAACTGCACTTACAATATTCACCACTATTTAGCGCCATTTGCCTTTTTCCTCTGAGCTGGCTTGCTTGGACTTACATTGAATTACGGTGTCATGATCTTGGCACTGATGACCGGATTATTGGTTCATTTCCTCCACCTGCCTAGCTCCACCCAGTTTTCATTATTACTCATCAGATCCACCTGTTCCAGTTCCTATTTAAACTGCTTGGTCCCAGAGATCGATGCCTGATTATTCTAGCCGTAAGTGAGAGTTCTCTAGCGTTCCTCAGTGTGTTTATTCTGATTGCTTGCTCGTGGCCTTCTGGGTTTGCCTGCTCCTGTTCTTATCTGTTTGCCTGACCTGTCTTCTGACTACTATTGAATCTGTCTCCCGACCCCAACTTGGATTTCCCTTCGGTACCTCTTCTGATCTCTGATCTTCTGGCCTGGACCTCTGCTTCCTCATCGACAACAGCTTTGGATTCTCCTTCCGGATACATTTGCTCTTCCACATCAGCTGGCTTCTGCTCGTCAGTCTGCTCTGCAGCTCCTTTGGTCTCTACTCATGTAACTCTTGGGCGGCTTCCACGCCATGCTGAGAAAAATCATCTGACTAGATTCCATTCCTTCCTCTTGGCTTGGACTGAACTTAATAACCAGGTTAGCGACTCAAATGCTTGCTATTGTTGCCTGTCAGAGTTACGTGGTCACCAATCTGTGTTTCGCCCTCTACAGAGATTCCAGACATAGAATCCTATCTGTCGCGATCCATAACTATGAGCATTTAATAAACGCTGTTTATAAATCACTTCAGTCTGTCTGTCTGAATTGTGGGTGCAACGTTGTAAATCCTGACACAGGGGACACCCAAGGCTTTAGAGGATACAGCAGACGTGTCTTTCAAAACGGCCAAAAAGACCTCAGAGCTGTGCTATAACATAATTGGCAGACTGGCCTTCTAAGGAAGCAGCCGCCAAATTCGAACTCAGCAAAGGTGTGCTTAAAATGCACTGTTTGAATATAATTCCCCTAATGATGTCATAAGGGGAAATAAGTTGTCAAGTGCTCTCTGGAGCAGCCGATTGGTCAAACTACTTTCATCATCTTAGGTATTATTTCATGCCCCTAAGCTATTTTAACAAACTCAGACGTGTTGTATGGATATGGGTTGTAGGGTGGTGGCCTTCGGTAGGATGGGACATGGAAAGCAAAAACAGCTTGTCCAGAGAAGAGCTGGAAAATTAGGTTTTTGGTAAAGGCTGTCTGCCTAATCTGAGAGGAATTTACCTGCACAAAAGGCAAAAACATTCTCTGGTTGATTTGGAGCTTTAGGTAGGCCATTTCAAAAACCATGTCAGAATATTTGTATAATATGGATAATTATTATAATTATGCAATTATTATTGTATAATTATTTCTAAATACGGTTAAGTTTGTAATTAAAGCATTTTGTGCACATAATGCTTACAACAATACAACAGTATTTCAGTCCTGCAAGCTGGGTTAAATGTATTTTTTCTGCATTTTGTAGATGTTTTTTATTGCTTCAGTACAACTGATTTTTGCAAATAACTCAGCAGCGTCTGAGTTGCATACTTTACAACAATGTTAAAGTTTAAAAACCACTTTAAAAATCACTCTGTACTGTACTGATGTGTTTAATTAGCTCCTTTGTTATGTCCATGGCTCAGCGTGTTTACATCATCTGTCCAAGAGCTCTTTTAGTTATGATTGATAACTTATCATCTTCTATTGTTCCTGTCATGTGGAGTGCCAAAGGGTTACATTCTTGGACCCCTACTTTTTTCCCCTTTATCTGCTGCCATTGAGGCTGATTATAACCAAATGTCACCTGTCTTTCCATTGTTTTGCAAATGATCTCTAGATGAACCTCTGTTTAAAACGAGGTAAGGGGCAATTCACTACGGCCGCTTTAATGGCATCTGATGTAAAACAGTGGTTTGTAAAAACATAAAAAACATAAAACACAAAATAGAAACTAGCCCAAAATAGCTTTGAAGAGGGACTTCCATGGCCAGAACCGACCCCGGACCAAAAAGAACCAGAGTCCAAAACATGGGTTCATGACTTCCACAGACACTAGATGAAAGTTGAAGAAACCAGTAATTACTCAATTGTAAATGTTGTTTTACTCAGGTTATCTTGGTTAACCTTAATATTTGTTTAATGATGTGAAGCAGAAAGACAAAAAAATGAAATTTTCTGGAGTAGAAGCAGTGTACCTCATGGGTGGTGGCAGCATCATGGTGTGGGGCTACTTTAATACCACTGGTAGTGTTGCATTGTACAGATAAGGTGAATGATGACAAGGGGGCCCTAGAGTATGATTCTTAACCCCTGCATCCCCCGGAGAATAGCTAAATAATAGAAATATGGACATGGCTGTTTTTTCCAGCAGGGTAAAGAACCCAAACAAAAAAAGAAGAAACAAAGAAACTATTAACAAAAGGTTGTCTACATCACCTGAATGACGATTATGAAAATAACATGCACATTCCTCGCTACACATTTAACCAAAAATGCATTTTAAATGCAGCTTCTTTCTCCTAAATGTCTCAATTTCCAGAATAAGTACGGGCAGGGTCTGTTATTTTCTTTTTTCCTCCAACAGAAACTCCTTAGAATAGACCAATAAGGCTGTGAGATTCATATTTAAGCCCCAAATTGTACATGTAACATGTTTTCCTTGTGGACCAATATGGGTACATTCATATAGATTACATATTTTTATCAAGACTGGGTTTAATTGCATCAGCAGATCATTACTTTTTTTTATCATTACTAATTTGTTTTTTTTAGAAATGTTTCATTTCCTCCCTGTGATATAATACACCTGCGGTAGCATAGGTGTCTCAAACAAGGACTATATAGGAGTTATAGGATGGTCAGAGTCATCATTCGGTGTCCTTGGGCAGCTCAATCACTGATTCTCATCTCTGTGGCGCAAAAATATTGGGAAGGGGATGAAAAGAGGAGCCGGCCATTAATCCAGATTCCTGCTGTTGTAATACTCTTCGGCCAATGAACCATTACCTGATCATTTATTTAGAGGAAAACATTCTCAGTCACATATGAATGGGTCTGGACAGATCACAGTACATGAATATCACAACCAGATTCATATGACGTCTTCTGAAATAGAATATTAAACCTGGGTGCTCA